TTTTTTTTTTTATAAAAATGTATCCATACTTATTGTTCCTCACCCTCCTTAAATAGCGGACTAGTGATCACGGCAGCTCTATTGGTACACTTCTTTTCGGATATATTGCGAATTTCCTTTGGCGGCTATTATACACATGCCACACTCTCACAGCTTGTGGAATCCCAATCCACCAAAGAATATTCTTGGTTGTTGAAACTTTTAGCCAATTGTTTTGGTTATAGTTGTGTCTTTGTACCTGGCTATCTTATTTACAAATATGTTAAACGCACAAATTATCTGGAAAAGAATGGTAAGAGTACTTAGACAACAACATTACAGATATGCAACTTTATTCAGTACTATGCTTTTATATTACAGACAAAACATGCATTTATACTGCGGTCAGTATGTGCATTACTGGCAGTCCCGGCACTGAACTTGACTATTCTGAGCCGTTGGAACGCAAACCCATGGAACCGTTGACACCGCCTAATGGCTTGCAGAAACACACAAAATCCCAAGAAACATTACTACTTTTCTGGTGCTTTGGTGGACTAATGGTTTCATACCTCACTTGGGGTGTACTACAGGAGAAAATTATGACGCAGCAATATTTCAATTACAATGGTCAACCGTCGCATTTTAAGGACTCACAATTCCTTGTCTTCTGTAATCGTCTTTCAGCTTTTATCTGTGCAATAGTGACGCTACGCCTCAAACGTCCAGCCGGCCGTCATTGTACACCATTATACATGTACTCCTTTGCATCTTTCTCGAATATAATGAGTGCATGGTTCCAGTATGAAGCACTCAAATTTGTCAGCTTCCCTACGCAGGTGCTAGCAAAGGCATGCAAAATTATACCTGTCATGTTGATGGGTAAAATTATATCGAAAAACAAATATGATTGGTATGAGTATGTATCCGCTGTACTAATATCATTAGGCATGATATTCTTTATGACCGGTTCAGCGAACAGCACCAATGCTAGTAGTGTGACAACATTCACTGGCATCTTTTTGCTTACAATGTACTTAACGTGCGACAGCTTTACAGCGAATTGGCAAGATGATTTATTTAAGAACTATGAAATGTCGTCATTGCAAATGATGGCTGGTGTCAATCTGTTTTCCACCATCTTTACAGCAACCTCATTGTGGGTACAAGGCGGTTTTATAGATTCGCTTACATTTGCGAGCGAGGTAAGCTAGAAACATGCTTTGAGAACCATAAAAAATATATATAATTTTTTATTTTTTTTTGCTTAACAGCATCCTAAATTCATACTTGATGCCATTACCATNATTTGAGAACCATAAAAAATATACATAATTTTTTTTTTTTTTTTGCTTAACAGCATCCTAAATTCATACTTGATGCCATTACCATTTCCATGTGTTCCGCTGTGGGTCAATTATTCATTTTCTATACAATATCGGTGTTTGGTGCAGTTGTATTTACCATCATCATGACTTTANTTTCCATGTGTTCCGCTGTGGGTCAATTATTCATTTTCTATACAATATCGGTGTTTGGTGCAGTTGTATTTACCATCATCATGACTTTACGACAGGTGAGTGGTTGTGTGCGCCTAGGCGTGGAAAAGCATACATACATGCATATGCGCCAGAGCGCGATAGTGTCAACCGAGTCTGGTGTGAAAAATAGGCCAATTTTATTTGTTTTATATTTTATATTTGTACAATATGTACGCAAGTATAAATAATGGTACATTAGAAATGTGTTTTGTAGCAAGCAAATTAAAATAGCTGGCTTATTAAATGAAATGCTGAAAGTTGAAAAGAAAACATGTTCAAATATTTTATATTTATGTATGTATGTATGGTCATGTAAACATTTACTTTCAAAATTCAGTGGGAAGTAATTTTTCATTAAGGCAAGTTACTTGATCTAAGCTTGAC